GAAGTGTTCTCTCTTGCTGTTACACGTGAGAAACCAAGAGACTCACCAGAGGAGGTCTCATTCGTGAGAGGGAAGCCTCTCCTTCACTCCGTGCCGCACATGCCACACTTATTTCTTGCCTCGCAGCCAGTTTTGACACCTGGAAAGGCACCGCTCCACGATGGCGGCGGTGCGGGTGTTCAGGCGGTGCGGCGCTCGTGGGGGCAGGTGGGTGCCGGCATCTGTGTCCTTGGCAGAGCTGGTGTCCTGGGGGATGTGCGTCCCCGGGGCCTGGGACAGGCATGGCTCCGTGCAAACGGCGCTTTGAGATGCACAAGGATTTGTGCATGTAGCCGAGCGCTGGTTGGGGCGGGGAGCACTGGAGATCGCACTCTGAGCACAGCAGAGCTCCTCCAGGCAGGTGTCGAGGACCTCAAGGGTGCAGGGCTCCGCCGTTGAGGTCGGGTACCGCAAGGGGATGGTTTCCATGCAGATGCCATCGGTCTCAGGGGTGCAAGGCTCCACTGGCGACATTGTTTGCTGGAGGGGGAAGGTCTCCACGCACGCCCCGGTTGCGTCTAGGAGGCAGTACTCTGCCGTCGGGATTATGTGCTGGAGGGGGAAGGTCTTCACACAGGTCCCAGTTGTCTCGAGGGTGCAAGGATCCATCCCTGAGGTTGGGTGCTGCACGGGCAAGGCTTCCACAGAGGTCCCGGCTATTTCAGGGATGCAGGGATCCACTGGCAAGATTGTGTGCTGGAGGGGGAAGGCTTCCTTGCACATCCCAACCGTCTCAGGGGTGCGGAGCTCCGCTGATGAGGTTGTGGGCTGGGATGGGGAGCTCATCCCTCCCATGCTTTGAGCAGGGTCGCAGGGGATCGCTGCTGGGCACTCGCAGGCACCCACATGTGGGGGTGCACAGGTGTGCTCAGGGCAGCAGGCGTCCTCGGGCATGGGGACAGCAGCAGGTGGGCAGGTGGGCTCAACCTGAGGGCAGGGATCCACCTCCAAAGTCTGCTCAGGACAAGGGTACGTGTCCTGCTTGGGGTCAGCATCCAGGTCCACCTCAGCACAAGGCAATGGGCAAGTGCCGGTGTGTGCAGCCTCCTCCGGGCAGGACAGGGGCAGCTTGCACTGAGCCATCGTCTTTCTGCCCTTCTGGCAAGCCTGGAAGAGAAAGAGCAATTTGGTGCCTCCTAACCCAGAGCACTGGGCACCTTGTTTTCTTGGCTGGGCAATTTTTCAGCAAGATGGTTGCTGTTTGTGCTGTGATGAAATAAGGAAAAGAGAGAAGATTTACTGTTTATTGGTTGGTTGTTTTGGTTTTCTTTATTTTTTTTTTTTAAATCCTGCAACCACACCTTATGAAAAGAAGTTTGTTCATCCTGTTTTTCTGCATAAGCATCAAACCTTGTTTTTCTTATTAAAATCTAGTTTCATCCAAACAATTTCATCCCAGCAGCATTTTCTTGCACAGATACTGATGGATTTGATGAATATTTTCAGCAGGTTTATAAACTTGAAGTCAGTCCCCTCTCTTTTCCAGACATCCCAAACGCCCTTGCAGGAGCAAAACCATCTCGCAGCAGCTGCAAGAGGTGCAGCTCTTGCTCTCCTGCCTCTGGCATCAACGGGCTAGACAGGCAGAAGGAAGATGTTGCTCAGGTTTACCGTGAGGCTGGGCACTCTTACCTGGGACCTCGGACGCTGCCGCGTGCGACGCTGCAGTCACCTCACCTCTTGGCTGATAACAACATGCGCGGCAGTTTCAGCTCCTGCCCTCCCGTGAAGGTGCTCCGTGGGCAAGATGGGGTTTTATCCCTTGAAATCCAGCTCCGAGACGATGACAGGGAGTGTTTTGCAGAGCATCCGTGGGAATCGGAGTATAGTTACGAAGGAAGGAGGTGGTTCCTCTTTCAAACTCTTCTCACCTACAAGGTGGGAGAGCCAACGGAGAGTTTCCTCACGCAGCAGGTAGCAGAAATGTATTTCAGCACATCATAGGAAATGATCTTTATAATCCCAAGGGTACTTACCCGGCTCAGTGTCGGCGAATAAAGACGGCGAGCAGGCACGGTGGCTTTAACCTGGGCTCTGCCTTGTATATTCAAGAGCTTGGCCTCCGGAGCTGAGGTGCCCCAGGCACGCAGACAAGCTCCCCTTCGCTAACCTGGCTCTGCTCCGCCTCTGCCCTGTGATGGATTATTTGACTAATTGTTTTTAATGGAAACCGGCTATTTCCGTAGCTGGAGCGTAACCTGGAGTGAGCAAAGATGGCTCGATGGTTCACGTGTCCTTTCAGCGGGGCTGACGCCAGAGAAGAATTTGGGAAATGAATGGCTTCTCAGCTTGCTCTCAAATAGCCAGTCATGGGTCAGTTTTCTGGGATGGTAAAACATCCTCCAGCCCAACACCTCATGCGAGCCATTAGAGACAGGATGGGATGTGGCATCTGGGGGATTCTTTTATTTTTAGCCACGTCTGACCTCTTTCTGTCACTGCCACCGTCCTGTTTGGATGTGGTGCTGCTGGTGGTAGCATCCTGACTGGAAACTCTTGTATCATCACCAGTCTCGTGATGTTTTGCATTTTCTCCTAAAGCTCTGGCTTCGCTAGCGTAGCACTACTCCATTGCCGTGATGTTGCCTTTATCCTCGTGCACGTACACCCCTGAGGAGCAGATGGGCGATAGGAGGAGTGACCACCACCCTTTTCTCTTCAGCCTACTGGTTTACCAAAACCAGCTCAATTATACTGATTCAAACCACTGTGGCCAGCAGGGAACTGTCAACCCAAGTGGTCGTACGTCCCAGATTGATTTATTTTGACTTAAATAACCAAAAGCTGCTCCACGGTGCTCAGCAGCATGGACACACACATCTGAAGTGTGCAGACACAAGAACACACCTTCGTCTCCAGATGATATATTCCCTCATCTCTGCATGCAAGTAATACTGGTTGGGTGTTTGTGTCACTAAGTGACTTAAGGCTGGTTTGGGGTGAGCAGAGAAGGAAACTTCAGCCTTTGATCTCTCGCAGGCAATGCTTCTCTCCCTTCCCTCCTCTAACGAGGGATTTTCACACAAGAACATCTTGACCACAACTGTGGCAGGCAGAAAGCGGTGACTACACGCCGCGGTTCGCTGTCATTCGTGGATGGTGTATGCCAGTCTTGGTTTAGGCTCCTACATGATAGAAATGCACATGGAAAAACAAAAAAAAAAGGGCCACTGCCATGGACACTGTGGTCAGAGAACCAAACACAAATGGATCCTCACCCTGCCTAGAGATGGGCAATCGCGAGGAGGAGTCCTAGAAGGAGCTTAAGTGACACTGATGATCTCAAGAGAGTGTGAAACCTTCCCTGGCTGCCCGACTGCCAAAATTGTAGCACAACAAGCCCAAGATGGTCCTTGAGGAGATGATGGATGGGAAGAAGCTGAAGGACCTGCTCAGCCTGGGGAAGATCCTGGGGCCCCTTTCAGCTCTCTGAAAGGTCTTAACTGAGAGGCTTTTCTTGGAGGTGCCCGGAGACAGGGTGAGAGGCAACAAGGGAAATTCTGACCAGGTTGTTGTCAGGAATATAATTCTCAGTAGGAGGCATGGTGGGTACTAGCAAGAGCAAACAAACTTGCCCAGTAGAGCAGGACAAAGCCGCTTACAGAGTCCCATTCATGATGCTGGTCCGTATGACTCTCTTGAGGGAAGCAGAAAGAAAATTCACTGAATTAACTTTTGTCAAAACAAAGTTTAATCCCGAGGGGGATTGTTTCCAGGCTGTATCACCGGTTCTTTGTTCCTCATCCCCCATAGGAAATACGTGGATCAAGAATTCAAGCTTTCGGGCAGCAGTCATAGTGTCGCATGTACCATCTCAGTGGCTAGGTTTCATTAAAAATTATAATGTAAGCAAGTAATTTAAGGATTGGAGGTGGAGCAAGTCTGGATTATTAAAAATTTTATTTCCATACCCCTGAGGTGTCTCACTTCCGGGGACACGGACACTGAAATCATATAAAAGGGTTCATATTGTAGTGTTTCTCAAACCGTTTTGGTTTCATTTCCTAGTTGCTGGTGGTGAACTGGGTAAGTGTTTCTTGGCTTACTGGGAAGTAATGTTGCAGCTGGGGTTGTTTAATTTTAAAATATTACCCGTAGAAGCAGGTTAGAAGACTTATGAGTGCTTCTGCTTAGTGAGATTTGTGTTTGGTTCTTACCAAGCAGCTGAACCTAAAGGCAAATACTCATTCCATCTTGTACCAGTCTTTATTTGCTGGACATTTTTTAGTCGCCGTGCTTTCTCTATCAAGATGCATCTCAGGGTAGCTGAGAGCGGACTAACCTCTCTCGTTCCCCAATGACATCGCTGCCCTGTTTCAACCAGGAAAATTATTGGGTTTGAGAGAGATCAAAAGGCAAGGTTAGGACTTCAAAGGAAAAAAGTGGGAGGGAAGATAAGAAGTGGAGACTTGCAGGCTGCAAGGGTAAGCAATGCCTGGAAGGAAGTCTAGATGGGCAGAGCTAGGAGGACTTCTGTGGGAGAGGTGGGAAAGTGGCTGCACTTTGAGCATCAGATCCTTTCCTCAAGGAAGTTTGCCAGCATGAAGCCTCCACTCATGTCCTCTAGCTGGGCACTATCAGAAGCCTAGTGGTCTCCTTTTTGGGTGGAAATAAGGAAGTGAGGTCAAAGAGTTAATCCCAGACGGAGGGGAGCTGTGGACAGGCTTTAGACCCTTCGGTATAGTTGAGTCCAAATAGCAACCCTTGCCTTTCCTGCTTTGAGAAGAAGTTGCTTGAAGTGTACGTGCAGCTGGTAGCTACAAATTTGTCTAAAATGCTGTCATGTGGAGCTAGTGTCCTGCTGTGGATTCTAGGCTGTTTTCCCAGGATATAGTTCAGTGTTCCACTGGAAAAAGTTTAGCTTAATTCAGCGTATAAAATAGCCTTGTGAAAGCTGAAGGACTCAGTTTTGCACAAAGTATATTTCTCTCCTGCTTTCAGACTTTACCCCTCCCTCAAAGATGAGTTTCCAAAACGGTTGCCAACTGAGACAGATCCGCCTCCCACCTCCCGCCGTCTTGGTGAGGAGCTTCCCCGTGAAAAAATGTGTGGAACCCTGCGGTACTGTCTGCAACATCCAGTGCTTGCCTCCCTGCGTGGATCCCTGCTGCTACGGTGGGGTTCCTCGGGGCACCACCACTTACGTGAACCTGGGAAATCTCGGTGTGACGCAAGTTCCCGGGTCCATTGATCCCTGCTGCCTCGGACTTGCTGCGTGTGCGCCTCCGTGCTGCTGCAAAGTGACTGAGTGCACCACCAGGTGCGAAGACTCATGCTGTGAGGAGGTGGCCAAGTGCACAACCACGTGTGTGGATCCCTGCTGCCAGGAAGTATCCAAGTGCACCACCAAATGCGTGGACCCCTGCTGCCAGGAAGTATCCAAGTGCACCACCAAATGCGTGGACCCCTGCTGCCAGGAGGTCACCAAATGCACCACCACATGTGTGGATCCCTGCTGTCAGGAGGTCACCAAATGCACCACCACATGTGTGGATCCCTGCTGCCAGGAGGTCACCAAATGCACCACCACATGTGTGTGAAGATCCCTGCTGCCAGGAGGTATCCAAGTGCACCACCAGATGTGTGGATCCCTGCTGCCAGGAGGTATCCAAGTGCACCACCAGATGTGTAGATCCCTGCTGCCAGGAGGTATCCAAGTGCACAACCAGATGTGTGGATCCCTGCTGTCAGGAGGTGGCCAAGTGCACAACCAGATGTGTGGATCCTTGCTGCCAGGAGGTATCCAAGTGCACAACCAGATGTGTGGATCCCTGCTGTCAGGAGGTGGCCAAGTGCACCACGACATGTGTTGAGCCATGCTGCAAAGAAGAGATCAAATGCACCACCAGGTGTGTAGATTCATGCTGTGGAGGTGTCACCAGATGTGTCACTAAGTGTGTGGATCCCTGCTGTGGTGGAGTGACGAGGTGCGTAGATCCGTGCTGTGGAGGTGTCACAAGATGCGTCACTAAGTGTGTGGATCCCTGCTGTGACAGAGTAACCAAGTGCACCACCAGGTGCATAGATCCATGTTGCAGAGAGGTGACCAAGTGCACCAACACCAGGTATGTGGATCCCTGCTGTGGAGGAGTGATGAAGTGTGCTACCTGCTGTGTGCATCCTTGCTGTGGATATGTGACCAGATGCACCACTAAGTGTGTAGATCCCTGCTGTGGGCAAGTGAGCAAGTGCACCACCAGATGTGTGGATCCCTGCTGTCAGGAGGTGGCCAAGTGCACCACCAGATGTGTGGATCCCTGCTGTCAGGAGGTGGCCAAGTGCACCACCAGATGTGTGGATCCCTGCTGTCAGGAGGTGGCCAAGTGCACCACCAGATGTGTGGATCCCTGCTGTCAGGAGGTGGCCAAGTGCACCACCAGATGTGTGGATCCCTGCTGTCAGGAGGTGGCCAAGTGCACAACCAGATGTGTGGATCCTTGCTGCCAGGAGGTATCCAAGTGCACCACCAGATGTGTAGATCCCTGCTGCCAGGAGGTATCCAAGTGCACCACCAGATGTGTGGATCCCTGCTGTCAGGAGGTGTCCAAGTGCACCACAACGTGTGTAGATCCCTGCTGCCAGGAGGTCACTAAATGCACCACGACGTGTGTGGATCCCTGCTGCCAGGAGGTCACGAAGTGCACCACCAGATGTGTAGATCCCTGCTGCCAGGAGGTCACCAAATGCACCACGACGTGTGTGGATCCCTGCTGCCAGGAGGTGACCAAGTGCACCACCACGTGTGTGGAGCCCTGCTGTGGAGGTGTGAGTGAATGCACCGCCAAATGTGTGGATCCCTGCTGCTGTGGGGGTGTCCAGGCTGTTACCAAGTGCGTGGACTCCTGTCCCACCACCTGCGTGATGCAAGCTGTCCCTGTGTGCACGGGTGCGTGCTCCTCTGCCTGCGGCCAGCGCTGCTCCATCGCTTGCGCAGATGTCTGCTGCCGTAAGTGAATGGCTCCTTGAGTGGCTGCACGTGGGGGATCCTGTGGTGGGACCCCCCGCCCCAGTGCCGTTGCCCTGTGGAATGTCCAAAGGTTAAGGAACGAAAATGGTTTGCAGATCCCTCAACTCACCGACGTCTTCCTCGCATCTTTACTTTCCTCGTGCCCTTCCTGTCCTAGGAAGAGTAAATCCTCAAGCAGTTTACCTTAAGTTCTGCATAATTTGTGCTATGTTTGCCTCAAGAACAATGGTTTTTCTTGTAACTGAATGATTTTGTGCCCCCAGGAATATTGCCTGGGAGAGAGATGCTGTAGCTCTTCCTTGCACTGATGTGTATAGAGGAATTTGTTCTTTCTTGTTATCTTCTTTTCTTGTATGATGCAATAAAAAAACCCTGATCTTGGCATCAGCTGTCTGCAAATGTTTGCTTTTGCTTTACCCCAGACTCACACTTTGTCCTATTAATTTCTTCCTAAAAGCCTGATCTCTGCAGAGTGGCAGCTCCTGCTCGAACGCATGGGGAGGTCTAAGGCAATAGCTGGAGACCTGGGACTCCTCTGGGAGATCCCAGGTCGTTGCTGGGAGAGGGGGTGCCGTACATCACGGAGAAGTACCGCTCCCCCTTGGGTTTGAAAAGAGCTTGAAAACTTTGAAGAGCTCTGAAACCGGAGGAGCTCAAGGCCAGCTGTGTCTGCATCCCGCAGGCAGAAATGCCACGTCCCATTAGGAGTGATGGAGAAATAAGTCACTAACGAGGGGAAGATGAGCAGGTCTGGGCCACTGTGCCTCATGACTTTGTCACCTATGTGTAAGAGGTCCTATCTCGGCCTTTTGCAATCAGCTTGTTTCCTTGTGTCTGGTGGCAGCTGGGCAAGCCTCACTGGTTAGGGAGATCGGCATGGATCTGAATTCTGCAGAAATACTCTTCAGTTAGCAAGGTGTCTTGGATGATTTTGGTAACCCTGCAATGGCTAGCTGCTAACAGGACCCCAGTGCTTCCTCCTTAGCACCGAATTCTTCGTTTGCAAATTGCTCACCCAGGAGTAAACAACACCCTCAGGGACTCGGAGTCGCCTTGTCACACAGGCCAAGAGTTTCCAGAGCAGAGATGGTGCTCTGGAAGGCTCTGCTGATTTCCAGAGATGGTGCTCTGGAAGGCCCTACAGGTTTCCAGAGCAGAGATGGTGCAGAGCAGGGTTGGGTTTAGCAACCACTGCTAAAGGGAGGAGGCACGGAGAGACAGACTGCGGGGGAAGCCAGCCCAGCTGCTGAAGCAGCAGCTGTGGGCGGAGCTCTGTCTGGGAGCACCCACTGGCTCCTTCTTTAAAGACGCCCCAGGGCACGTGGCTGATGACTAACCTGCAATTATCGCTGTCTCACTTTTTCTAGTAGAGGAGCCTGACCAAGAGTGGGACCTGATAAATCAGACCCAATGGCCGTGGCATCGCACGTGGGCTGGGAAGAGCTGGCCTCACGCAAATTGTTCCACCCTCACAGCTCTTGTGTGTCCGGCCTCTTCTCTCAACGGATCGTGGCTCTTGCCATGGGTTGTGCAGCGCTTGCCACAGCCTGTGTCCAGACATTGCTGGGTGCTCAACGCATTGTCTAAGCCTGAACGCTACCCGATAGAAGTATAAAACCAGCTGAGGCTTCCTAATTGCCTCTCTATGTAGGTCTGGTTTGAATGCAAAACTCCTTTAAAACTCCTTAAAACCTTCTGTGCAAGAAACAATTTCCTTTGTTCCTGCTCGCCAATCGAATGGAACAATCTTCTGGCAAAATAGAAACCGTAGGTGGAAAAAATGGCATTCTTGTAAGATTTTCCCCTTAAACTACTTCTCTGTAGCACCCTTCTGATGATATGACGCTTGCATTATATTTAATCCTTGACAGGAATATAGAAATTCAGGTTTTAAAAGGCTGAGACCATTAGCAGAGGGCAGACACTTCTTTTCCAGGTGAACATCACAAGATTGTGCTGTAGGAAGAGAGACAGATCCTTCCCCGGTGAACACCCGAATGTTTATACAATATCCATGAAATTGTTACAACAGGGACAAGACTGCAAATGTAGTTGTCTCACAGTTCTTCCTCTGCCCTGAGCTCTGAAATGCATTCCTCAAAGATCAGGACAGAGTTTTATTTAGTGATGTCAAAACTTGTAAGGAAAGCCAGATTCCCGTTTGAAAACGTTGGGAAAATCAAGTGTCAGCAACAGTCGGAAGGCAAAAGATAAAATAGATGAGTTGTTTTTTTCATGACCACAGCCAGTTCCTCTTTTCCAGGTTTAATTGCCCTCAGATGCTCACTTATCATTCTTCACGGAGCACTCACCTTCCTGAGTAAACAGGAAAAGAGGCGGATAGCGCCAGGTTCGGGTTCCTCTCGGGCCCCAGAAGTAAGTGATCTAATTACCTGATCAAATAGTCCCTGGGGCATGGACTAGACGAGCCACTTGTTTTCCTGGGAGGCTAATTGCGTTCTACACTCAGCCTCTTGGCATCTCAGCTACGTGAGGCTTTCCAAAGGTGGAGCCCTGGACCAGCAACTGGGAGCTCAGCCCCAGCTGGAAGCTGCTGGATCATACCCTTGCCCCTTCCTCGGGTGGCTGTGGTGGGGAATGATGAGAAGGGAAATTCGGGTGTAATGAAGCCCCAAACTTTAAGATTTAATTGCAATAAAGTGCAGGAGAGTGGGCTGGGCAGGCTTTGGAGTGCTGAGAAAATGGGGAGAACCCTTGATTTCTCACCAAAATGTGGGTAGTGATGCACATAAATGAAATCAAACCCCCAATGCCAACCAGTGCAGGATGCCACAGAGCGCGAATACTTGCTTAGGAGGCTTTTAGGTAAAGCAAGGGATGCAAAGAACTCCAGTAGTATCATATTTTAAATGCAGTTTTATTAAATAGTTTTTTTCTTCCCTAGCAGAAATCCAGCTGAACAGCCCCAAACAGCGTGTCTCCAAACAGATCCACAGGGAAAAAGTTCCTTCTAAGGTGTTTCCATCAAAACTCATGACATCTGCAAGTCCTGAAGTTCTGTGTTTCTGTTCACAGTCACGTCTCTGTGACCATGTGGTGTCTCATGTCTGCAGGGAAAATTTTTCTAGGCAGGAAATGTAGGGA